TCATCGCTGTGTCATGCCTTATGTGTCTTAAAGCGCCGGAACGGCGCCGCGTATCGACGTGAAATTTACTGGGCACAAACTTTGGGTGGGGCTGACCATCGTATCAAAAGATGGGCGCAATCGGACCAGGGGTGCGGCGTCAGCGCGCGAATCTCTGCCCCAGGCTGGGCGCGGCCGGCGCTGAGCAGAGAGCACGCGCTTTAGGCTCAGTTGTTCGCTTAAAAAACTGAGTGAAAAGCATCAGAGCCGGGAGGTCGTTGACCTTTGACAACGAAGGCCGACACAAGGCACCGCTCGCCAAGAGGATTCGCCAGTAAAAACAATTAATTTGTTTTTGCAATATCTCAGCCGTTTCTGGGCCGATTTAGCTGAAACTTGGACTGTCGGTGATAGTGTAGGGTAGGGTAGGTTAGGGTAGGGTAGGGACTAGGGGTAGGGTTGGGTAGGGTAGGGTAGGGTAGGGTAGGGTAGGGTAGGGTAGTGTAAGGGTAGGGTAGGGTAGGGTAGGGGTAAGGGTAGGGTAGGGGTAGGGTAGGGTAGGGTAGGGTAGGTTAGTGTAGGGTAGTGTAGGGGTAGGGATAGGGTAGGGTAGGGTAGGGTAGGGTAGGGGAAGGGGTGAGTAGGGTAGGGTAGGTTAGGGAAGGGTAGGGGTATGGTAGGGTAGGGTAGGGTTGGGTAGGTTAGGGTAGTGTAGGGGTAGGGGTAGGGTAGGGGTAGGGTAGGGTAGGGTAGGGTAGGGTAGGGTAGGTTAGTGTAGGGTAGTGTAGGGGTAGGGTAGGGTAGGGTAGGGTAGGGTAGGGCAGGGCAGGACAGGGTAGGGTAGGGTAGGGTAGGGGTAGGGGTAGGGTAGAGTAGGGTAGGGTAGGATAGGGTAGGGTAGTGTTAAAGTGTAGGGTAGGGTAGGGTAGGGTAGTGCAAGGGTAGGGTAGGGTAGGGTAGGGTAGGGTAGGGTTGAATTGAGTAACATCCTAACTTACAAAGGGTTCGAACAACTCGCATGCATCACCATCATGCTTTACAGTTCAATTAAAAGCAGTTACCCAGTTCTACACAAATAATACCAATAAAAATGCAAGTTTCTACACCCAAACTAATGCATCCGTTAATCATACATATCCAAGCATACAGTTATCGCGTAAACCTGTATTCTAGTAGTAAGTTAGATTTTCAGAATGGCAATGTGGGGTTATTTGGCCGGGACTAGCGGGGCAACTTGGCCGGTGCGCTCAGAGTCACTATGCTGGGACGGCCGAGTTGTCATGGTCAATTATACCATAAAGGACATAATTCATGACCAACTTTGACTACCTTGATCCCATATTTCCTATTGGACAGCTGTAAGGGCATGTGACGTCATCAAAGGTTACCTAACGCTTTTTTGCTAATAAATACTTACAGAAAAAAGATACAGCCGCGCAAATGGTCTCATTATGTTCAGCTCGTCAAGACGCATCGAATGATATACATGATGACATTGAACTCACGTAACCTTGAGGTCAAGCGACCTGAGGTAACGTGACCTGAAGCCAACCTTGACCTTGACCTTGACCTGGACCTCTCGAGGTCAACACATACATGTTTCGATGTGGAATGACGAGAGAATTACGATGGTGTTTTTAGTTTTGGCCTAACTTGATTACTTCAAAAGTTATTCGTAAAAAACTGTCATCGCATCTAGAGCCGCTATTTTGACTATTTTCGACCCCTGTGACGGCTGAGTCAACCTCCAAAATTCTTCAAATGCGTCGTAGGACACGCGTCATTGCTGAATGTGAAGCTGACTCGCCTATAACAAAAATCATGGCCTCAAACTAACACCGGCCAAATTGCCCCACACTCCCGGCCAAATAACCCTGCTAGTGGGGCAATTTGGCCGCTTTGCAGACCTTTGTAATACGCCACAATTTTAATATAAGTAGTTGCTCAATCATTTCAAGTTTACTGTCCAAGGAAGTAAAATGTATGCCACACCTGTCAGCGTTGAGAAAATGCAGAAATGTGTTGTCGATTTTTAGTTACATCGTTTTCTAAAAAAAAGCGGCCAAATTACCCCACTCTCCCCTACACCGCTATTCGCTGCCTGCATTCTAAGCTTCATATCTACTCCGGTAGCAGATCATCAGATAGACAATGGACATCTACCCCTGCGAATTCCGTTCATAGCCGGCCGGCTGAGCCGCCTACCGTACTACGCCCGTCGTCGCTCCACAACCCCTGTCATGCTGCGGTGTCCGGGAGTTACTTTCGCCCCCGGAGAGAGAGACAGAGCTCGGAGGGCAGAGGGTGAGAGGGCCGTGTGCCGCTGACCCAGATCAAGGAGTCGACCGGCGACAGCGTCACTCGTCACTCGCAGCTCGGGAGGCGCGCCGTCAGCACCTCAGCTCCGCACGTGAAGCTATCAGCTCATCGAACAGCGCACCGAAGGTGAGCGCAGCTCCGTGGGCTTGCAGGGTTGAGTGGATCGGTAGAGGTACTGTTAGCGACTTGGCCTGTGAAGAAAGACGGCCATCATCCTCCCGTGGGATGACAGTGGGGCCTCGGCTCGTATAACCTGCTAGTTATTTCGGTAAAGTAGTATTTTACCGTTTCACATTTTCGGGTAAAATTTACAATTAAAAACATTTGGGTCGACTTAGCACAATCAAACAGAGGCAGAGCCAAATAAAAAACTTGTATCCGATTGCGTTTATGTTATCGGTTTACTTCGTAATGGCTTTCGGTCAAAATTCTAAATAATATTTCTCTCATATTACTTTATATGTTAATTTAACCAAAAAGGATTAGATCATATTGATGATCTTGCCATTCATTGCATTTAATGCTTAATTATTTGCAAGCTTCACGAACAGCCGTACAACCTAGGTGGGAGGGGGTCGAACGGACCCCTCCCCATCGGTTTTTCGCGAGTTACCGGCACAAAAATCGTCCGATCACAACGAAACTTTCAGCACCCTCGAGTTAAAGGGAACCTCCCACCTTCAAAAAAGTTAATGAATTGGCATGAAAGTGATGTCGCTCGGTTCAGAAAGAGCAAAAACGAATATCTACCAAATTTCATTGAAAAATATTCACCGGTTTTCAAGATATTAGACTTTTACTTTTGTTTACTTTTTGGGATCTCCGCTGTTCCTAGCGACTTTATTTGAAAGTGCGACATTTGCTGCGCGCAAAGCAGCATATACCACCGCGTGCTACAAAACGTTTTAGTCAAACATTTAACGGACGTTCGAAAGCCTGATGACGTCATCAGATTCCCGTAATGGTTAAGAGATAGGGACCACGCTGGTCCCACCCTGCAAGTAAAGGGAAGAAATTTCTTGAACACGATAAAGCTGCGGGGGTTGCGACCAGGATAAATGGTGGTTTCTGAGCCTGGCCGCAAACTTGGCTATCTCAACTCAAAACTAATGTTAAGGTGGGAGGGTCCCTTTAATCCATTTTTCACATACCATAACAATTTAATGACCCTAACTCAAATGACCTGTGACCTGTGACCAATTTCTCGAGACCATGTTTGGCCAGAATCACGATTGGGCGTCCATATGTCGGCTCACATTATCCGTGCGCTTGCAGTCTTTTTGGGGTTTTAAATGTTCAAACATGTGGAATGATGTTGGCCCCATGCAGTATGATGGGTTTCAAGATCACGTGAAGCCTGAAGGTCGGGTCAGGTCATTGACCTTTGATAACCTTGGCTCATTGCTTCGAGTTTTACATATTTCTAGACTAGTTTTTGGAGTTGATTTCGAATTTTGTAACTTGAACATTCACGAAGTAGTTTTGGTCCCTTCGTTACATGTTACGAATCTGTCAGTGGTGGTTGACACCTACTTTGAATACCGGACAGGACGCCTTCTGGTTGACCTGACCTCGACCTTACCCGACCTGGCGTAAATACGTAAAGACACCATCTGTGATCAAAACTTCGTGATCAGTACCCCGATAAACCTCTTGACAACCTCACAAACTTTTAACAGGTCCCGATTTTTCCTACTTTTGGGTCATGGATGGATCTGGAAGGTCAACCGATGACCTAGGCCCTTACAAATGGGTAGCATCGGCTTCCTCTCGTCAGGGGCAGCACGCTCGTTTTTTTTCGGGAAGCCCTAGCTCGATCAGGGCCCGAACGGCAGGGGGGTCAACGGACACCTCCCCCCTATACGTTCGCGGCTGGCAAAACACCAATACGGGCGAAGGTTAATTAAATATTTTCGGTATGCTGTATTCATTTCATGACCGTAAGATAAGAGAATAGAAAAGAGACATTGGGCTTAGTCGACCACCCATTGGTCCATCAGATGGGCTCTGATAAGCCCATCTGGTTGGAACGGGGGTGTCCCGCGGTAGGACAAGCCACCGAGACGCTCACACAGTCACCCCGGAGAGGTATGTACGTACAGCTGCTCTCCACGGATTGCATGATGGGACGAACATTGCAGCCCCGACAAATGAAACGTGATCTACGAATGAATTATGATTTGACCATTAGAATGAAAAGAATGAATTGGAAGCTCCCATGAAGGTTCAAACATTAATGTCGCAAGCGTGGGGTAGATATGTATATTTAAGTTGAACCAAATATTCCTTCGACTTTAAAAGGCCAGACACGTGAGTTCAATTTAATCCGCTTTGATACTTCCAACGGTTAAAATGCTCGCGGTCTTCGACGATCTTCTGAGTTCTGGGTTCACATTTTAGCCTAATTAATGAGACCAATTATCTTCACCAGTTACCACTGTATCCCGGCTCTTTCCCAGAATATTCTGGGACGACTCCTGAGACCGGTCTGTAAAAATCAGTCCTCAGAGTGACCTGGAAATCTGCTGACCTCATCTCCGTCACCCGTCATGGCCTCGTTCTGGTCCAACTGAGCACGCCAGATGCTCTGACCGACCGCAAAGCTCGGGGCGCCGCCCTCCAAACCCACCAGCTGTCTCAGATGAGTCTCACTCACGCGGTGACTCGGAGCTCCCACTCACAACTTTCCGTCTCATTTCCAGAGGAGGAGATTACGTTTCCAGCGCGTCCATCAGTCGAAGAACATGTCTCCGCTGCCCGAGCCCCAGTCGGCGGCCATTCAGGCCGGCTCCGGTGTGCCCGTCATGTCCATGCTGTTTCTGCTCACCTCGCAGCTGCTCAACTCGCAGCAGCGGAGGGCGAAGCGCGATGTCTCGGAGGAGGGCGACGGACGTCAGGGCAGCACCAGCCAGCTGCTGCAGGTCAGTGACGGCAGGACTCAGATGGGAGCTCTGCATATGCTTATCTATCTGTATCTTGGTCGATTCATTAGATGGAGAACTTCTCTTGCAATTGTAGTCTTGCTGCGAGATAAGAAACTAGTGCTGCGAGTGGATAGAACGAACTTGAGCTTTGCTGTAAGTTTGAAAAGCATTGAAGTCGGTGATGAATGCGGAGCTTCTGGCCCTGCGATTTTGCATGACACTGGAATCGATGCAACGTCATCTATCTCGCACCAGAACTGCACTGTCCATCGCTCTCTGATCTAACACCACCTCCTCTGCCCCCGCAGGTGCTGAACATGTTCCAGAACATGGACCAGTTCATCGGCCGCGATCCGGACGACATGTACGAGATGCTCTGGGCGGTGGACAAGGAGTCCGGCTGTGCGCTGAAGCTGACCTGCACCCTGGCAGCGCTGCCCAAACACAAGGCTAGGCCAGAGGACATGCTCCTGCTTCGTATGTTCGGGTGAGTGAGGCGCAGAACGCGACAACGGAGATTACACCGGGGTGATTTCGATGGGCTTGATATAAGATGAGATAAAAACTTGGCCCAAAACAACACTAATTATGAAGTGGAAGTGGAAGTAGGGCAGGCAGTCCCAATTGACCTTTTTTCATCACAACGGTGTAGGTGGACATTAGCGCACCCACACTGCGACATGAATCGACCAAGTAACATCAAGGTTATCAAGGTTCAATGAACGGGAAATACTCCATGGTCCGTAACAACCTGATTTGAATGAAAAGGACGTTAGGAAACAATGCGACCAAAACTGAGCGAGGCAGGCTGGAGCGTATTGTACTTACTTAGACTGAAACGGACGAGGGCGCGTAATTATAAAGCGAATTGAAGTGAACGGAGACCAAGGACACTTCAGGGCCAGGAGAACGCTGTGGCCTGAAATGAAATCCCTAATCCCCCGAGGTATATCCGAAAAAATACTTATGATCCTCGAATAAAGATTCAAGATCATTTCACACTGTAAACAGAGCACGTCACAAACGTTATCCACCAATTTTAGTGAATTAGATGTAATTTGTTCCGAAGTCATCGACCACGGAATAGGCACACAGTCGTGATGAGTTTGCCCCGAGTCACCTGGCCAATTGACCTGGTGACCCCTCGGGTCGATGGCCCACACCTGCCGACCTCTGCGGTTCACGGGTTCGTCCCAGTCACGTTTCACGCGTGATCTGGGTTAGTGGCCTGTTCTGCACTGCAGTCTCTCGGTTAGCGCCCTGTCGATAGTTGCAGTCCCTGATACGGCGAGAGAGCTCAGCCGCGCGCGGGACGGGACACCGCCACTCGGGAGAAAGTCCTCTCCTCTTGTTGGTTGACGCGGAGGTATGCAAATAAGGAGTGCCGTCCCCGTGTCAGCATCATTGCCATGCGGAACGTGAGGTCTCGTCACGCGACATGCTTTGCCGGTAGTTCTGCAATGCTGATCGCCAGGAGAATGTACACACCGTGGGTATAATATATGCGACATGTTCTAAATTGGTTGGACGGTGAAAGGATAAGCAGCCTGTCGCCTGTGTCCCAGAATGTTACGAAAAGATTACAGAAGGAAGGAATCTATCTAATGTCTGTATATTTTCTCACATCACTGATTGGATCACTATCGGTTTCAAAACACCAGCGCGCGGTCCAGCCACTCTGCTCGGTAACTGTCGTGAACTGTCCACTGCCCAGGACTGATGTGATTATGCACGGTTGAATAGATGGCTAGGGTTTTCCGAGAATAAAAACGCTTTGGTTCCGCCTGGTCTCCCTTCCCCGGCAGCCTTCTTTGCCATCGGAGCTTTCACTCGTTACCAAGTTTTTTTTTTGCACCCAGCTGCACGCCATACAGCTTCGGGGCTATTTCAGAAAACCTGTTTCCAAATCTTTGTTCGGTTCCATAGGCTTATGATACATTGTTAATCTCTATTCACAATCCTGAAACAGCCCTAATAAGCTGTGCGCATACATTTTTTATCACCAAAGAGAACTATTTTCAAGCACCAAAATTGCTAGCCAAGTAAGCACAACGCACCGTACCATTTACACGATTTATATGAGCACCAACTCATCTTTTCCACCGTATGCTTTTTGTTGTCTGATAGCTTCTCTGTTAGCCACACACTCATGGCTGTGTTTCCTGTTTTCTATTCACCCATACCTTTACTTCCCGTCCCCTCTTTCCTCCGTCTCCCATTTCCCTCTTTCTTCCCTTTTGATCAACCCCCATTAACCCTTCCCCGTTTCTCCGTTTCCAGGAAGCGTCCGTTCACCGTGCGTAACGAGGAACTGGAGAAGCCCTCCGGCATCTACAAGTATGCCGCCTTCATGGGCGCCAAGTCGCTGAACCAGCAGACGTGTGACGCCCTGTTCAAGGCGTGTCCGATGCCCGGTGACCAGATGGTCTCGGTGTGGCGCTCAGTGGTCGAACTCGTGCCTTCCATGCTCAACACCATCAAGCCCGGCAAGTTGGGCAAGTAGGCCGGTCGATGGAGCGGCAGCTGGGGTGGGGAGGGAGGAGTTGGGGAGGGGAGGGGGAGCGGCACCGCTCGTCAATGACGTACCGAGTGCGGCAAGAGCCCCGCGGGCGAGAGGGCTGCAGAAAGTGAGCGGGAAGGACGGAGAGAGGAATGTGGGAGACAGAGGGGTGCGGGGGAGGGAGAGAGAACGAGAGACGGTTGGGAAGAGGGTGCGCCGCGGCAGAGTGGCCCTGGTTGGCGGAGAGAGAGGTCCGAGGGACGATGGAGAGGGCGTTGCACAACACAGGGGTTACTCAGCACGGGCCGGAGAGAGGGTCGAAGCCGGCCAACCGTGCAGTTCCGGTGCCCGGCGGGGCGGCGGACAAGTCTCACTGGTTAGAACGCACCTGAGAAGGGTGACCGTCTCACGGAGAGGCACAAACGCGCGTTATGAGCTCAGCGAATCAGTCACCGCTTGTTTTGTGACAGCGGCAAACTGTTCCATTGCCACTGTTGCTGTAATTGTTGCATTTTCACAGCTGTTATCAATTGTTATGTTTGACCGAAGGAATAAGTGTGAATTGTTTAGTCGTCGATAACAATGACGTTAATGTAAGTCAACAACGTGCGTATGCTGACTTTTGCACTGTATACCGGCACGTGAATACATGTGAATAAAAATATAACTGCATTATAAGATTCACCAGAGAAGAGAGGCAGACTGAGCAGCAGTATAACTTTTCACAGCATGCCAACCACCAACCATACAGACACCATACAGTACCTACTACTGTTATCTGTGATACAGATAATGGTTAGGATTAGGTTTGCTAATTGCTACACCAATTTGTTATGACAACCGAACATCCGTCCGGCATTGCCCGATTCCAGCGGCTCCGACGCCCACCCATAGCACTGACGGCACAGAGCCTGTATGGCGCGGGCCGCTTGTGAAAGCGGGCAGGGGCGAGGGACGACCGGGAACGGTCCAGAAGGAAAGTGATTTCAACTATCAACTGCGCACCGTCCGGGTGCGGCTCGCTTATCGAGCCTCGGCAATCGACGTGTTATGCCACCAAGATTACTTTATGCCACCAGGTGTTTTTTTTTAAATATTTTTTTAAGTTCGTTTTTTTTTTGTTTTTTTTTCGAAAACCTTTTGAAGGTTCGAACTTAAAACCAGGTGTTTTTTTAAGTTCGAACCTTTTGAATGGAAGGATTCGTAGGGACAGAGCCCCCGCTAAGCACAGCTTCTTGGATTGGACGGATTGGACCTGCACTGCACTCCGCTCCGTGAATATGGCAGAATTTAGAGCCCGAATTCTTTTATAGTCCTACGTAAACGTAAATTTGTTACTTTTAACAGGTAGCCGTACCATTCAAAACGCATTAGTTTACCCGAACTCAGGCTCCGAGACAGGACCTCGATCTCGACCTTTATTCCAAGATAGTGACCGTATCTACGATCGGTGAGTGAAGAAACCTGTCTTTGATTACATGGCCCGGCTGAACCTCACAACCCGGGATGAATTCATTATGAGGAAAGCGATCGCTATTACATTGTACTTCCCACTAATCGCAAGGATAGGCGATTTATTAAAAAAAAGGAGTCTGAAACCAGTTTGTTTCGACAATATTCTATTTATTGTCTCGCTAGCAACAAAATGCTATGTTAAACAGAATACGTCTCCTAAAGCCTGTGAATGTATTCTCCTTTGTACAACAGGGTGACGTAAATACTATCAAATACAGCATCCTGCACTCGAAGCATACACGGTGCTGATGCCTAGCGGCTAGAAGCACAGTATACAACTATTATCAAAGTGGCACAATAGAAAGAACAAAACTGTAAAACATCCGCGGCGAGTAATGTCGCATTGACAATGGTCGTGTTTGTAAGTAGCAATTGCGGGTTAGAAAAGGAGCCGGCAAAACCAGCCATTTGTACAAGCCCATGGCAATCCGGTCCCAGCTAAATGGCTTTACGTACGTAATAAGTAGACAGGAAAGAGAAGCAGATACTCAACGTAACTATTCCCTACGAAGCGCCCACGCCCGCAACATACAGGAACGTGCCAGCCAGCACATGGAAAAACACATCCATGGCCCCAGCGACCGCGTCAAAGCAATAAGGTTTCAAAAGTCGACTAAAACGGCACCAGGCAACTAAGACATTCACATCATTTAAAATCGTAAATAGGGGCCACAAAGATTGGCCACAGAGCACAGAATGAGGAGGAGCTGTACCACTCCTGTGACCAAGAACACAGTGAAGTTTGTGATCATGAATGAATTGTAGCAGCCGCCGGAGAATGTACATCAGAACATAGCAAATAGGTACCTAACGATGAAGGTGACGTGAAAGGGATAAATTCCACAAGGGAGTGTAAAATCTCACAGCAACTTCCTAATCTCAGTGTACGAAATCTCTAGTTTTGTCTGCTTCTAGTTTGCCGAGCTCGAGTGAATGAGGAACGCCTTTCTGCGTTCATACCATCTTGTAGCAGCAGCCACCATTGCTTCTGGATTCAAAACTACTTGAATCCGTTCAAGCCGAGCGCCTCGCCACAGAGCCACTACCGTCACGACTTCTGGGAACCGATCACGTTCGTCACGTGCCAGCTCTTACTGTCTATCGCCCTGTGGTCACGCTATCAGAGCTCGAAGGCAACCACACGGATACGCACCGCCACACATACCAGACGTGACCACCAGGCCGCGGCTGCCTGAATGATACACATACCAGACGTAGCCACCAGGCGCGGTCGCCTGGAACCGCTCAGTGTGGGACCCTTCAGCACGGCGTCTCACGGGTCTGCCCAGACACTGTTACTACCAGTCTGGGTGCAGTGTGTTCGTGAAGAGAGACAGTCACTGACAGCTACGAGTGTCTATCTCTGAACGTACTCCTTGTCTGGGGACTGAGCTCACACACACCTCAGGGGCTGAGCAGAGTCCACTAGTCGGGTCTGTACCGGGTAACAGTCTGACCTGGGCGCGAATATCAGCCACGCTCCACCACCAGTTCAAAACTGTCCACCTCGCTCATACGGCTGTTGACCAGCGCGGCCCAGCGGTCCAGCTCCGCCTGCCGGGGAACACACAGGAAGACGTTAGTGGTAAACTCACACCACTGCAGCAATAACAGTGTGGACAGTGGACATGAGTTCCGCACACACAGCCGGTAGCCAGTGACGGAACAGCGCTTCGCTGAACAGGAGCTACTGTGGACATTATACATGGGAGTCAGACACACACAAGTGGTCACTGGCCAGACATCAGTGGTGGTAACAAATAAACACAACGCTCCCTCACATTCAGTGGTGAAGGTAGGCACATGACGTGGACAGTGGACACCGTTCCGCAACACACGCTACGCTCCACAAGTGACACACACACACGGCCAGCGTCGGTGGTGACAAACACAAACCAATACACAGTAGTGAATGTGAACACATGGTGAGGTGAGCAATCTCGTGGGCTGGCAATCGAGTTGAATGGACAACGCATGGCGATGTATCATCCCATCCCTTGGAAACCCATCCAGGCAGTTCATCTAACTATGTTGCTATTGGATAATGTAAAAGATTCAGGACACACCTCAGAACATTTTAGCTGCGTATGACTATATGAATGCAATTCAGGTAGTTCATAGTAACAAATGATACCTGCAAGCAGGATCGTCATATTTTAGATAGCTAATCCCTCTCACACAAACATACAAATGCTACGATGTCGATAGCCTACGTTGGAGACATGCACGGCTGTAAGGAACTCAGCTTTTGAGCCAAACACATATTATTCACTTGTGCGTGCTTGCAATTTACCTTAGATACCTACAATAGAGGTTAGGTAAAAAAAAGAAACTTCCAATCCTAACCCAGCCCAAAGAAAACCGCCCTGTCCAGAGCCGGACGGCGGCACCTGACCGCCACCTGTCGGTCGGTCTGCTCACCTCTACTTGCTCGTCCCGCTCCCTGTGGTGGCGCCGGTGTTTGGTCCGAGTCGAGTCGCCGGCTGTCGAGCCAGCCTCCGACCCCAGCGTGCTGTGACCCAGGGTCGAGTGGCCAGCGGCGCTGGCGGATGGGTGGCGCCGCCGCGAGTAGCTGCGACTGGCCGGCTGGTGGGGATGGAACAGGGGAAAGAGGTCAGCAGCGAGCGGTATACAGTGGATCACACAGCCAGCAATAGGGCACAGACAGGTCAGCTGGCAGGACACAGACCAATGTTCAGTCACAGAACAGGGACGGAGCTGGTCAGAGTTAACACACTTTCTAAATATCATGATGATAATTTGTGTTTTGGGAGCCGTTACGATGGAATAATATGACCACAACCACTCTAAAACGATAACCTCTCCAGAAATCAGCCCGCACAATCAGCTATGGACCACAACAGGTCAGTGGCGGAACACATTAAATCATGTACCGAAATAAACAGAACAGAAAGACCAGACAGCTGCAGTCAACAATGGAACATACTGGGCCTTTAATTGGATTCAAACGGGGAATGAAGGTTGGAGTAACGACAGAGACTCTAACATTCAGTGTTGGAATTTTCATTTCAGTCCTGGGCCCGGAGAACAAAATCTGTCCGGAAAACCGGCCAGCTTATAGGACAGCCAATAGCAAAGCCAAATGTTTGGCCTACTAAATGTGATAACTGATCAAACGTGTCATTTCCAATGTCATTTCTGCAGGTTTAAATGTAACAATTACAGTTTTCATCATACAGAAGGGAATATTTAGATTATTTTAGGTGCTGGAGCATAAATTCAAATTTGTAAAAGAGACCAAAATCTTTTGGATCAGACTGAAACCAGAAAAGGGCCTTATTTCCAACACTGTTGAGTACCATTTCACCCACTCATAGATCAGCGGCAAGATGTAAAAAAACGAGACATCACAACAAAAAACTTGTGACGTCTCAACTCTGTTGGTTAACAAGACAGCATCCATGCATCAACAATTCGGTTGATAATGCCTCGTAACCTATCGCTAAATAGAGCGCAGCGTCTCCCTCTGGATGGTAAAGACAATCAGACAGCTGTCAGCTGCTACTCACCTTACTGAACGTGATCTCGGGGTCCATGAGCTGCGACGCCACCGTGGTGGTCACCTCTGAGCGCTCGCCGGCCGGTTTGCGCGTCAGCCGGCCCACCGTGAACCGGCTGGGCAGGTTGGTGGTGTCCCGGAGCCGGTGGGAGCGCGCCGGCAGCGGCGGACGGGCGCGGCGCACACCCACTGGCGACACCACCTCCTCCAGCGGCGCGCTGCCCTCCGCCTCCTCGGCTTCCTCCATGTCCTCCAGGAAGCCGTAGCAGGTCTGAGCAGAGTCGGCGGCCGGCGCGGGCGGCACCGCAGGACCGCACGGAGTCGAGGTGACGTGTCGCGGCAGACGGCGGCGCTGCGGAGTGGCCGCCGCCGGAGGCAGAGGTTCCCTCACCACCGCCGGCGCCGCCGGAGCGACTGAGCTGAGTGGCGCGGGCGGCAGCGGCGGGCGCGGTAGGATGCCGGTGAACCGAGTGGGACTCGGTGCTGCCTCCTCCTGTCCTGCCACCGCCTTGGTCGCCGGCATGGCGCCGAGACGCTGCTTCTTGGAGGGCGTGCCGAAAGCAGCGGCGTCCACAGGATCGCTCGGAGCAGCGGTCCGAGGCCTCTTCAGCGGCGAGGTGCCTGCCCTGGGTAACTTATCTGCCGGTCGCGCAGAATCCATTTGAACATCGGAGGTTGAGGATGTCGTGGCAGCACCGCCATCAACACTCGCAGAGCTGGACGCGGCAGTTATGGGCCCCGTACTAGCGGACTTGCTCGATTTTCCAGCATTCTCTGATCCGGTTTTGGAGCGACTATCGGCGGCAGTTGGAGCTGTCACTTCATCCCCTTCCGCGATCTCTGCAAGCGGTTCACTGACACTGTCCGTATCATCAGTGCGTCCACCACGTGTAGTAGCAGCCTTTATCGCTGCCCTCGTTCGACTCGGTGTTTTCGTTTCCTTTGGCTTGGTGACTTTAGCACTTCGCGAGCGAGCGGAATCGGTTCCTGCCGCCTCCACTTCAGATCGTGCTTTGGTCTTTCCTTTAGACATAGTCTGGTCGGTTGTCTCAACGACTTGTCTCTCGTTGGCCTGTGCCAGGCGCGGAGTCTTCCTGACCGGAGCAGAGGCGCTTTTGCCAACGTTCGTTGCACGTTCCTGCCTGGAACGAGTTGGCGTCTTTGCATCTGCTATTACTGCTTTGGCATAGACGTTTTCCTGTTCTTTCTTACCACTCGCTGTCTTTGCATCTGCTGTTGCCCCTTTGGCGGGGGCGTTTGTCTGTTGCCTTCTTCCACTACGTGTCTTTGAATCTGCTGTGGCAGATTTGACAGAGGCGTTTTCCGGTTCCTTCTCGCCACTTGATATCTTTCCATCTCCTGTCGCTGCGCTGGTAGAGCCGTTTTCCTGTTTCTTCTTGCCCCTTGACGCCTTTGCATCTGCTGTTGCTGCTTCGGAAGACGCGTTTTCCTGTTCCTTCTTGCCATTCCGCGTCTTTGCATTAGCTGTAGTGGCTCTGGTCGAGGTGTTCGCCTGTTGCTTCTTACTGTTCGGCGTCTTTGCATCTTCTGTAGTTGTTTTGGCAGGTGCGCTTGCAGACTGCCTCTTGCCACGAGTGCCACTTGCCGTCTTTGTCTGTGGCGCAGTGGCGGAGGCCAGCGGCGCGGGCGGCTGAGATTCAGCTCTCTTCTCCCCGCTGATACCAGCCCGACCAGGCTTGGCGTCGGCGGTCTGCACGACAGGCTCCGGCTCACTTTTGCCCACCGGTGTGTCCACACTGGCTTCAACGGCAGGGGCCGTATCTGAGGCCAGAACCCGCTTCTTTCCGGTCCGACTTTTCTCGGCCGCACTGCCACTGCCGGTCACCACGCCAGCTTTGCTCGGCGACGGCTTGGGCTTAGCCGGTGAATTGCTGGCCGCTTCAACAGCTTTTCTCGGAGTGAGCTTCGACTTAGGCAATGAATTGCCAGCCACCACACCAGCTTTGCTCGGCGTGGGTTTCGGCGTGGGTTTCGGCTTGGCCAGTGGTTTCGGCGTGGTCTTCTGGCTCTGTCTCGCCCTCCGCCGGTTGGGCGTTATGAACAGGTTGGGCCTCAGCCGGGGCGGCGGCACGGGACTGCACACAACCACTGGCAGGCCGGGCGTCGGTGTTGCGGGAGTTGGCTGCGGCTCTCGGCGAACTCGCGGCCGCCGGACGGGCGTGGCGACGGGCGGCGGGGTCGGCCGCCGACGGAGGCACGGCATGTCTACGAGGCAGGGTTCACGGGCTGAGAACGACAGACTGGTGGGGCAGAGTCGGCCAGATCTCGAACATCACCACAACCTGGGGACAGACAGACAGAGCGCCATCAGTGTGACTCCATACAGGACCCACAACGCATGAACAATGACCTGAATAATGGTGCCATGCCAAAAGTCAAATAACGAGATGATTTTGACACATAACACAAGAACAAATAACTATGTTGTACGATATTTATTGGTCACCCAAATTATCAGTGGTTAACACAACTATTTAAAATCAGAGTTCCATTAAATATTATTTTAGTTAAGAGTAAGACGTTATGAACAGCCTTCCAGCCAGGTTCCCAATGTAATGTTGTTATTCTGTAAGACTGAATAAAAAAGCACAGCATATATTTGACAGTCGATCACACATCACAGAGGACAACTAACGAAAATCAGCAGTAAACCCCTACTGCACCACTTAATTGAATTATAAAAATAAAACTGACAAATGAATGAAATGCACTTTTTTAAATATTTTATAGTTTAGTTATATATATAGTTATATAATTATAATAGTTAATATAATTATAATAGTTATAGTTTAAAATGTATGCATTTGTAAAGATAACTATTATAGTTTATTTATTTTAAGTTTGCCCTTAACTGTAAATATCTTTTTGAACACAGCACGGGAATTGCTAGCTGAATTACTGAGAAAACTGGTTGGCGCACATTGATTTCACCAGATTTCACAGACCATCAATTTCATCAAATTAATTTACTAATTCACAGACTCATAGCTCATATTTGCCCATACCTACAGCCCCACAGTGATAGAAAACTTCTCAAGAATTATGTCTGAACTAGTTAATAAATTGCACGGCGATTAACATTAACATTAGGTACATCGTCAGTGTTCAAAACTTATTTTGAAAATATTATTCATATCTCCACTCCAATGAATGTGTGCCAACCAGTTTTCTCAGTAATTCAGCTAGCAATTCTCGTGCTGAAAGCCAAACAAAATAATGACCAAAGTATAACTCAAAGTATAACTCAAATAATGAACTACCAGGCTATGACAATAAATATAGGCAATTGAAGGCACCTTAGCTCAGTCCACATAGTTATTCGAACACTGCGAAAAACTATATATAACATATTTACCTTTAATCAATTATCAGCTCAGTGCTCACCCAGCACTTCAGTAACTTGACCAAGGCCCTATTGATATACCAACTTGACAAAAATTTCACAACAAACAAACCAGTTATGAAAATTGTAGACATATATGACGCGTTTGATGACCATATTTGTCTACAAAATGCTTCAAAGTTTCCGCTCGTCAAGTCTTCCAAGTATGTAACTCAAAGAAATTAATGGCAGAGTTAAATTTATATTCCCTCAATATTGTAATGAAAACAATATCTAAATTCATTGAAAATGGGTAATATTGTAGTTTTTACGTTGATTTCATGGTTGTCATCATAAAACACAAAATGCAATCACCCTGCAATATTATTTGTAACTCTAGGATAATGCGACTTTTTTTCAAAAGTCTTTATATTTTTAGCAAGATTTTTAGGGATCTTCTAGGTTTGCGATTAGCCTAGGCCCTACGCGTGCGTGTAGGTATATATTCTGGACTTTTTGTTTGGCTGTTGTTTGTTTTGTTAGGAGGGAGATGCTTTTTCGGCCTGAGAAGACCGTTGTTCCTGTGTCTGTGGCGTATTTGGAATTTCCGACCTCGACGAGCGTGTGTGGTAGAAAACCACCACTTTCGTAGGGGAAACTACTGCTGTCTGCTACAATTTGCACTGCATGTCAAGCTATTGTAGCGACATCTATGCATATACATTTCCGACCTCGACGAAAATCTCGCGGCGCTTCGCGCCGACCCGCGCCGCCCATTCATACTGGAGACCAAAGGAGATTATGAGTTCAGAGTTGTGACAAATACCTAAAGCAACCACCACGTATGATGTATACATAAACAGTTAACTATCAGATTGACGGCCGGTGTCAAAATTATACCTACCCTGTGATAGAAGACCGGAGGCTCTGGTTACCCGTGTAAAAATGAATACTTCAGACGCGTACCGCGTAGGAATTCAGCCCAGTATCGTTGAACAGATAATGCATCGGCCTGAAAAAGTACGGTAACGAAACCTAATTTTGGGTTTTTAGTCGGCCGATCCGTCCCCCCTGTCGAAAATCTGTGGTGACGCACCTGGCACGTAGGACAAAAGTACGTACCTATCGCAAATGTTCGTACAGTATAAAGTACGCATGGACAAAACTACGTCAAGGACAAAAGTACGCATGGCAAAAGTACGTACCTACAGTATAAAGCACGAATGGATAAAAGTACGTCAAGGACACTGGACAAAAGTACGTATCGAAGAAGATACGTATAGGTGGATTATTAAGTACGCATGGACAAAAGTACGTCAAGGACAAAAGCACATATCGTAAAAGTGCGTACAGCATAAAGTACGTAATACGCAAAGCTGGGCGCGTTCCTCGATTTTCGGTAGTGCGTTAGCGTTCCTGCGTTCCTCCGGCCGCGGCTAGTGCGTTCCTGGAATAGCGTTCCTCAATTTTTTTCGCTCGGTGCGTTTGCGTTCCTGCGTTCCTGCGTCCCAAACTATTAACCCGTATTGTATTCTGGCTCTACCAAGCAGCAAATCATACCAAAATCAGTGCAACGCAACACTGTAGCGGACAAGGTAGGCAAATTGCGCCAGTCCAACACTACAGGCGTGTTCTTCACAACCGAAGTCGTGGACAAAGAAATACCGCCGAACCACGCGGCGCGGGCCCAACCAAACACGGGGCGAATCGATCACAGAATACCCAGAATGGCGACACGGGGCCGAAAAGCAACTCGACATCTCTTTTCCGAATCGAATATCTGAAATACGTTTTACCAATATCATCCGTAGGGTTTTCAACAAAAATACAACCTGCTTAAAAATAATAGTTAAGTTGAAAGATGTATCTAAGTAAAAGTTATCATATTTCTTTACACATTTAATGCCTGAAACCGAATCGAATAGTAAACATCACCACTAAATCTAAGCAAGCCTTCCTCGATTCGACCGACAAGTGGCGCCTCTACCGGCAAACACACGTACTCGAGATTCAAACATTTGACACAGAGTTCATTGCCAGCAATATAATTTTTCGGGTGGTTCCGCAAGAACGCAGGAACGCTTCAAAATTTCGGGTGGTGCGTTCCTCTTACTTGCGTTCCTTTGAAAAAACTTTGCGTTCCTGCGTTCTTGCGTTCCTAAAAAGGGCGGTGCGTACGTACGGAAGAACGCAGGAACGCACTAAAGGAACGCACTTGCCCAGCTCTGGTAATACGTATGGACAAGAGTACGTCAAGGGCAAAAGTACGTATCGCAAAAGTACTGTCGAGTATAAAGTACGTATGGAATAAGTACGTCAAGGACAAGTAGGCGTATCGCAGAGGTAGGTACGCACAGTACAAAGTACGTATACCTAGACAAAAGTACGTCAAAGAAGAAAAACACATCGAAAAAGTACGAAAATTATAAAGTACGTATATCGCTAAGGCACGTACCCTTGCTGACTTGCATAGATGTCGCAATCGGTCGCAACTACAGCGAGACATGCAGTGCAAACGGTAGCAGACAGCAGTAGTTTCCCCTACCAAAGTGGTGGTTTTCTACCACAGATGCTCGTCGAGGTCGGAAATTCCAAATACGCGTGTCTGTGAGGACCAGCGACGGTACGCCGCGGCGATAGAGACCGTCTTACGGGAATGCCCCCCGATGAGGACAGCCCGCCATGCCGCTCAAACGGTCACCCTAGAGAGGCCATAGGCCATAGGCTATAGGGTATAGTCCGGCCAAGTCCGGCATAGGCGGCGGAACCGGGAGGGCACAGGGGTGGATCCAGCTCAGAGTTTTTTTTTTGGGGGGGGGGGCAAACCATAACAATTTATCGATTCTTTCCATGCATCGTCCATAGGCGTAATGTTAAAATTATGCCGTTTGGGGGGGGGGGGCAAATACCCATTTTGCCCCCCCCTGGATCCGCCACTACCGGGGCACCGTGTTCGGTGCTCCCCCTTGATTTTGGCATTTTAACATTAGCCCTATGGGCGTTGCATGGAAAGAATGGGACCTAAAGTCGGCAGTGCCCCCCCCCTTAATTGAAAGTATTCCGCCGCTACTGTAGTCCGGTGAGGACTTGCATTCAGCACCGGTTGTCTGGTGAGCCGGGTCACCGCCTTGGGTCACCGCCAGCCCGCGAAATGGAGGCGTGAAGGTAACAGTACGGATGGGTTTTGTTTTTGAGGATGAAGAGCATAGGCGTAGGAACGTTTTCGAAAGTGGGGGGGCCAGGGTCCCAGAGGTCCAAAACCTAACCTACCCCCAAAATCCGATTTCTCCTCGGATTTCGGCCACTTTGTTTTCGCAAACATGCTCAGAGGTAAAAAAAAAAAAATCGAGACAAAAAAGAAAAAAAATGGTTGAAATTTCAGGGAGTCTCCCGTCCATAAGCTCAAACTGATGGACGCGTTCCCCTGACCTCCGCAGCCGTTGGCACCCATGCAAATTCCAGAGGCATCCAGCAACTTTTTCATTACGAGCAAGCGTGAAACGTGCAAAGCGAGTCTTTTCAATATACCTATAAAAATCAGCATGAACGGCCCAGCTAGGCTCAGCCAGGCCTATAACGTTTTTAAGAGGTTTTATATCAGCGACCACTGCAACTGGGCTGATTGACTATCACTTATCAGAGGCCGGTGTGGGATTTTTAGACGGTCTGGGCCTTCAGAGGCCAGTTTAACCCTCCACGGCCCGGTCCTATAGGTTTTCTACATACGCGCTGGCCGAAGGGGCGGGCCGGCGGGTACGACCCCCTCGCCGTTTCGCCCCAGGTGGTGCTAGCGCGTCGCGGTAAAACGAGCGTGTGCGCCGTTACGGGACGCAGAGATCGATACCCGATTTTATGGTCCTAGGTCAACCGGTGACCTCTGACACCGTTCCGTGCTTCTATCCTCAGGATACTGAAATCCTTCTCCTCCACACCGCAACCCCCTCCGGGCTGGACAGGCAACTTTATCTCATGCGGGCTGCTCCCTTGGAGCGGCACCGCTGCTCCCGAGGGAGCGCACCCCGTAGCCGGGTGCAGTGAGTGCCTTGGGGCTGGGTGGCCTGTCCTCTGGACGGGCTCAGCCCCGGCGACTCACTAGGGTGCCTGCCCAGACCAATGTCTCCCCCTATATCCTATCATCCTTCCGGCTCTGAAATGGTCTCATTGGACCGAAAGGGCCTAACCCAACAAAACAAACAAAAACCGGTGACCTCTGAGGTCAGGTCAAGTGCCTCAAGGCACGGTTCCGTTTTGGTGAATAACTTCGCAAAAAATGGCCGCAGAGCCGCGATTTTGCCAGCATCGTGTTCGCCTCTCTCAGGCGCGTCGAATGATATACTTTTTGTTTGGGTGAGGTAAACTTAGGGTGTTGACCTCGGGTCACGGTCAGGTCGGCGTCCCCAGGTCACGAAATTGGTCGAAGGAGGTCATGTCGCATATCATTCGATTCGGCAGGTCTTCTTGAGTCCATA